ATATTTATATATATTTGAAATAACTCACAAATGCAATACTCACCCCTACTATGTTCAATATACTCTGATGTTGTCAAATCCATTTCCTTTGCAAAACAGTGCTCTTCAACCCATAGACTAATATCAGAGCCCAGTGATGTGCTGAAAATCACATTTTGAAGCCACAGCTATAGTGTGTGATGCAGTGTGCAGTAGGTACATGATCTACATAGGCTATTGCTAGAACTTTCCCACTTCCCATGGGCTCAGGGGTTCACTTTTTGATTGTTGTGAGCATTAAAAAAGTCATTTCAGCATTTCATTTCTCAGCAAAGCACCAAGACACTGCCAAGCATGGTGATTCACATTTATAATCCCAGCTCCCTGGGAGGCTGAGGCAGGAACATCAAAAATTCCATGTCACCTGGGCAACTAAGCAAAACCCTGTTTCAAAATAAAATGAAAAGGGCTAGAGCACTTGTGAGACGCAGGGGGAAAAAAAGCAGCATTCACTTGCCTGGTGTGTTACTCCTCTGGGGCTGCATCACAAACACCTCAGGCTAGTGGATTAAACAAAGTATACCTATTTTCCCATACTTCTGGAAGACAAAGTCCATGGTCAAGACTGGACAGGGTCTGCTCCTGATTTGCAGAAGGCACCTTCTCACGGTGTGTGCAGGACACTTCTCTACGCATGAAGATGGAGAAGGGGAGAGAGATCTAGTGTTTCCCCCTCGTTTATGAGGACAACAGTGTTACTGATCAGGCCCCTCTTACGATCTCATTTAATCTAAGTTACTTTATATCCTACAAGACTCTATGTCCAAATATAAGCACTGGAGGTTAGAGCTTTAACGTATGAATTTGGGGGACACAACTCAATCCATAACACAGGTGACTCCACCAAAATCACCCCATGTGATAGCTGCTCAGGAGGATGAACTTTGAACCCCGTGTACTCCATACTATTCATGCTATTCACACTCTACCACGCTGTCTTCCAACCTGAATCTTTCTTTCCTTCCCAACTAGAAAGCAATAGCTTCATTGAGTACGTCGTTGAGTGTTTGCTAAACACAGTGAGCAAAGAGGATCTGCAGCAGCTGCTGATCCAAGAAGAATCCTGGGACATTGTTATGACAGAGGCTGAATTGTCCAGGTGAGCTCCATGAGGCACTCCAGCACTGCTACCTAGGCCCTGCTGCACCAGCCTTCTTCGGGCAAATGCACCTCCTCCATGATGTTTCCTATAGTTGAGGTTGAGGGTGCCCCTCTCAACAGTTCCTGAGAGATATTTCCTCCATGTTGTCCCTGCCCATGAATGGCCTTGAGGTAAGGGTAGATGGTGCTCATGGTGGGCAGGATGCTTTCTGCTGTCTACTAGTAATGTGACCTTAGAAGTTACTTCACCACTTTCTGCCTTCATTTCCATATCCATTATTCTTTATTGTGAGAAAAAGAAGATCATGCATGGAAATTGTTTAGCATATGACTCACATAAGTTGAATGTTCCAGAAATGTTAAGTATTTAAAAAGCCTAGTAGGGAGACAGCCAGCCAAGCATCCTTCCCTTGAAGTTAGAAATCAAGGTGAACTTACTTTGGGACTTGTCCAAAAACTCTAGACATATATTCCTGGGAATTCTGGTTTGGGCCATTTATCTCCCATCTGACAAACCATACAAGGGCAGTAGGATCCTTCTGTGGTCAGGAGGTAGACTGGCTGGAGGAGAAATAGGTAGGGCTGAGTGGGACCCTTATTATCCCTGCCAGTTCCAGGGCTCCAGGTTCATGTCTTGGACCACACTGTCACTGGCTCAGTGGGACCAGACCTCCAATGTGATAAGACCAAATGAAGGTTTGGGAGCAAGATGTGAGGCAGAGGAGGAGAACACTTCTCAAAGGCATGGACAGACTTGTACCAAGTTCAGAGCCAGGACTCAAGATGAAGCAAGAGGTAGAACAGACCAGTAGTAAGAATGCTGGAGCCAAGGTACTGGAACCACACTGAGGCAAGGTAGATGCTGACAGCTCAAAGAACAGAGAAGCCGTGGGCACAGCAGAGGATACATGAGTGGGGAAGGGGAGCTTTCCTCCCATTCTGCTGTGACCCATCACTGGGAGGCATAGAAGGCTGTACGTCCTGCCTGGGTGCTGGGGAGCTCTCTACACCATTGAAACTCTCTTCTGTTCTACATAAAGTAGCCCCTGACCAACAGGAAGGCAGTGTGGCCAGCGACAACTTGGTGAGTCAGAATGGTCTGCTGCTGATTTTGTGTAACTCGGGAGTCTGAGGAAACTCGAAAGTCCTTCTCCAGAGTGTCACTGGCCAGCATGGATTCTTAGTGGCATCTCCTCTTTGAAGATGGAGGCCAGGAAGGACTTGCTTGGAAGGTGGAAATCAGACAGGGGCTGGTCCTTTAGCTGCTTCTCCATTGCTGATGACTGTTACCGTTGGCCATCCTCCTCCTTAGGGCTTGTAGCAGACAGTCCCCACAAGCCCCACCAGTGCTACCAAAAATCAGCTTAGGGTTATTTTGCTCAATTCCTGTAGAAAGCATGAATTGGTAAAATGTAGCTCTTTTAATATTAACATCCCTGAGCTTTAAATATCAGTAGCCACCAGCTCATCGAGTCAGCAGCCCTCCTCATTGCGCAGGCCAACAGCTAAAGGCAGATCTCAGACACATTTCAGTCACCTTCAGTGTTACAGGTCTAGCTCCTGGCTGCATTCAGCACCAGGGACCCTCATGGTTCCCAGCTCCCAGTGCACCCACTCAGAATGCTGTGATCAAGATAAAAATCACAGATAGGCAAGAGCACGCCCTGAGAATGGTTCTTGTTAGGACTTACTGTAAGATGGAACAGCACACAGACTGGACCCATTATGAGTATGAAGAATTTACTCATATAGGAAAAGAGCATTAAATTTTCTTTTTGGTTATGAGAGGGAAGGGGCCCTCATGGATCTGAATGAGGAGCATTGTGGAGAGGCAGAATCACCCTGAAAACCTTCAGGAGGGAGTCATCCCGACAGGCTACAGGGTGGAGTCATCTGGCTTAAGTCCCAGACTGAAGCTTGCTGTCACCAAAGTAAATATCTCCGGAGCAGCTTCGGGCACCTGAGGTAGCCCAGTTACCACAAGGAGTTTACGGCGGGAGCAGGTAAATAAAAAAGTACCTCTTGGCGTACATCAATGTGGAACTACTCATCCCCATCTCTCCAGGGTAAACTGGTCCCAAGAACGAGATACCTGTGGATCTATGAGAAAAATAAAAGAGAGACAAGAAAACCAAGAGAGGCAAAAGGCCTGGGATGAGGGGCCGACAGCCCCTCAGGCTGCAGCCGCTAGGACTGCCGCTGCTAGGACTGTTCCTACCAGTTGCAGTCACCTTTTATTCAGTGAGAACCTAGGGAGTAGCTAGTACTAATGGGTGGATACAAAACGTTTTTTTAGCAAGGATAATGAAAGGATTATCCTTTTCTACATGTAATCCGAGACACGTCTATAATCCCAGCACTCAAGAGGCTGAGACAGGAGGATCGTAAACTCAGGGTTAAACACATCATTGTGTCCTCAATGGATTCTAATAAAAAAAAAGTCCTTCTCTACATATGAAGACCCTCCCTCTGCAGGAAAATACTTTCTGTAGAATTCTTTTCAAATTCAGGTCTCTTTTGAGTCAGTGATTCATATAGGTGGGTCTCATTTTCTCAGGGTCTTTGCACATGGCTGTGGCTGCACACATGTGGAGCTGTCACCAATGATGGTGTCATGCTGCTCACCCTGAAGTTGGGGGTGACAGATGGTGGGTCAAGTGTCAGTAAGATGGGGAGAGAATCAAGGGGGAGCCAGGCCTTGTGCTGCCCAGTCAACCAAGGTAGCAGCTGGACCCAGTGACCTTCCATTGGGAAGGAGAAAGGGCATCAGGAATGGGGAAAAGCTGAGGGCAGAGCAAATAACACATACAGTCCTTCTAGTTCTACAGTTCTCTTTTAAATTTTAAGTTCCCAGCATTAGCCAAACTGCAAAGTCTACAGACGTAGTTCCAGACCATGCTTTTATTTGACACCAACTGCAAATTGGGGCCTTCCCCCATCCACCCACAAATCTGATGACTCATTAGAACTCACTGAAGGCAGTTATGGCACCGTTACAGGTTATGACAGAGAAAGGACACAGTGTAAAATCACCCAGAGGAAGAGACACACAGGACAGAGTCTGGAAGGGGTTCAAGCATGACTGTCCATTGTCCTCAGGACGAGGTGTGGTTCTGAATTCAATGTGTAGCAATTCACATGGAGGATGGCCACCCAGGAGGCTGAACCTATGAAAGAAAAACTTACTCTGATGCATGTGAAAACAGCCAGGAATCTTTGTTCTGGATGGTTGCACTGAGGGAGAGAGATGAGGACCACACTGGGTACAGTAAAGTCTCCTGGAGATTTAGGGCCAACAGGCAGAGTGAGGAGCGCTAGAGAGCCAGTTCTAACAGGGACATTGAGAATAGGGGGTTCTTTGATGCTGCTTTAGCAGGATTTTCCCTAAAGGAAGGTCCAGGACTAAACACCAAAGGTCAAGAATGGGAACATGATGAGATATGAAGAGTGGGGATTCTCATCTCCCCAGTTTGGTAGGACACTGGCTAAGCGTGGGTGATACCGGCCCAGCAGGCACAGAATGGACCTGGGAGGCCAAGGTCAGTGCCTGGTTGGGAAAAGGTTCAGAAGGGCCTAACTGGACTTTGGTCAAACAAACAGTTTTTATCAGCCCAAGCCTCAGCTTCTAGGGTTTTGGTTGGAGCTGGACACATATGTCTTCGTAGCTAACCTGGTATCTCCCTCCTCTCCCAGAGGTCAATGCCTTTAATCTCCACTTCCTCTAGAGGTCAGAAATGATCCCAATGTCCCTGTGATACATTACATTGCTCACAGGGAGCATCTTTCAAGAGAAATGCTTGGGAACAGAAGTATTTTAGAATCTAAGTTTTGTGTGTTTTGAAATATATTCATTGATACATCATGAGCTATCTTGGGGATTAGACTCAGGCCTAAACAGGAAATTCATTCACTTATGTTTCTTTACACTTTATGCGCACATTGTGATGGTAATGTTACACAATCTTTTTAGCATGCCAGTGTTTTGACTGTGATCTGACCCACGAGATCAGGTGTGGAACTTTGCCCTTGTGGCATTATGTCAGTGCTCAAAGGGTTTCACATTTCAGTGCATTTCAATTTAGGATTTTTGGATTAGAGTTGTTCAACCTGTATTGTCTTGTGGTCAAATCCCAAGCAAACA